TGGCTCACTGTGTTCTTGTTTCATCTGTAAAGTGTCAGAGATGTAGTTCAGAGTGTCAGTGCCGTGTAGATCACCACGCACGGTACTGTGGTAAGTGACGGACACTTCCTCACATCTCTCCTGTATCTCTTACTTAAGGTAAGTTTCTTACACACTAGGGATTAGGTAGATTAGGTTAGGTGGGTTAAGTTAGGTAGATTAGGTTAGGTGGGTTAAGTTAGGTAGTTTAGGTTAGGTGGGTTAAGTTAGGTAGGTTAGGTTAGGTAGATTAGGTTAGGTGGGTTAAGTTAGGTAGGTTAGGTTAGGTGGGTTAAGTTAGGTAGGTTAGGTTAGGTAGGTTAGGTTAGGTAGATTAGGTTAGGTGGGTTAAGTTAGGTAGGTTAGGTTAGGTTTTTTATTTTTTTTTAGGTTTTTACATTGACCTTCCTTTTTTGTTGCAATATCTCAACTACTGCTCATTTCTGACGGCAATGGAGGTTATATAAAAAGTTTAAAACCCTTATTCAAAAGTCAATTAGGTGATGCCTAAACCTAACAGAAGACAGGTTGGGTTAGGTTTATTCATGGTCATATATGGTTTATGCTGTACCCACACCTCTTGGGTTTTTTATGGGGACAGCCCACCCAGGGACAGGTCATCAACCCATAATGGGGTCGGGGGGGGGAGGTGTAAGAGTAAAAAGAAATTAAAAATAGAAGTGAAAAAGACGAAAACAATATCCTGTATTGTCATAGACTGTACATTATAATTACCTCACCTTGTCCAGTACTGTATATTTCCATGGTACTGTGTAGGTACCGTATTTTGTTAGCATTGGAGCTCACAAAATAATAACGTGAATAAATTATTTTCCCACAACTAATAACAAGTCAAGAGTTACCATTACATTCCCATACACACTTATAAAAGTTTATTACAGAACTGTACTGGCTGTACTATACAGACGTCTGTAGCAAACAAGGAGTAATTCTCTCTGTAACAACACCAGAGCTGCTCTTAACTCACCTAATACTGTACAAAGTTTCCTTGTTTCACACTATCACCAAGACAGTTTACCTTAAGGAATACTCTGTTGACACACAGTCAACCTCGCCCCTCACACAACAACACTAACCACCAACATCAACTTTGGAAACAAAATAAAAGTTCCACTAAAACCTAACAAAAAAACATTGAAAAAATTATACTAATATGAATTACCAGAACAAATTATATTAACAGCTGCGTAGATGATATTTATAAGATATGTTATCACTTGACGGCCACTGGGGTCTCCTGTGTTCGAGTCCTGGTCGGTGACACTCGTGATCCACCACCTGTGTCATTCACTAATGTTTACAAGGGAACCACTTTGGCAAACACATTCATTGAGAAAGCCACTTCCACCGCAAATTAGCGTAATACAACTAAATCAAGTAGTTATGTCTGGTAATGCAATATAGTAAATAAAAAAACAAAGCAAATGATAATGTACTATCAAAGGAGGGCCACCAGACTGGTGCCTGCACTTCGGCACCTCAGCTACCCTGAGAGATTGGAGAGCCTGAACTTGCCTAGCTTATACTACAGACGGGCAAGGGGGGACCTAGTTGAGGTGTATAAGCATCTCAAGGGGCACTACTCAGTTGAGTGTCCTTACTTGGAGCTGGCGGACGCTCGCCCCACAAGGGGTCACAGCTCAAGATTAAAGAAGCCGCAAGTCCAGAAAACTGTGAGGGCAAACTTTTTCGGAGTGAGAGTTGTGAACTCTTGGAACAATCTGCCAGAGAGTGTTGTGACGGCACCGAGTGTGAGCTGCTTCAAGACCAGACTTGACCAACACTGGAGCGGGTTCAGGTACATTCAGGAGCCGGTACATGCCCAGTACTTGCCAACAGTGTGTGACAGAGACGTGACCGACCACCCGGGCAGCTAACGAGCCGATCAGTGGTGAAGAGGATAAAAGTAAAAAAAGTGACCCTGAATTTATTGATGAAGAACTGAAACACATTCAGTCCATTGCACAAAAATTTGGGTACCCTTCATTGTTTGTTGATCATTGTTTTAAAATCCCTAAAAAATCCTTTCATTCTACTCAAACCAGGCGACAAATTCCTACATTTAAGAATATTTTGATTTTCCTTTATCTCAATGAATTTATCCCGTTAGTTCAGTCCCTTAAATTATTAAACATTAATGTTGTTTTTAAGTATGATTCAACTATTACTAATATAATAATAAAGAATAGCCCAACTTTGAATGTAAATGGAAGTGTTTACTGCATTCCATGTAGCAATTGTAATGGAAATTATGTAGGACAGACCGGGAAAGCATTGCAACTCAGAATTAAAGAAGTACAAGTACAATATTAGAACAGCACCTGAAAGCAGTGCACTGTTCGTTCATGTTAGGAATAATAATCATCCCATAGATTGGGAAAACAGCTTAGAAGTGTATAAATCATCATATGTCACAGAAAGACTTATGGTTGAAGCGAGTTTGATCAGGGAATTGAATTCTATAAACCTTAGTGATGGTCAGTACAAAACTGATAATATGTTGCGCAAATTTATTTGTCAGTGGCCCAAGGTTAAAAATGTTTTGAAAGCATTCGAGTTCGATGCAGGATAATTGATTAGTGGGTCCCATATTTTTGACCTGACTTAACATGACAAGTTACGTTGCCATTTCTTTTAAGCTCCTTTGCGTGTGTTATGATGTTACTTTTTACTTTTATCCTCTTCACCACTGATCGGCTCGTTAGCCGCTTGGGCGATCGGTCATGTGTCTGATTACTTTTCCTTTTCTTTTATCCTCTTCACCAGAAGATCGGCTCGTTAGGCACTTGGGCTATCGGTCACATCTCTGTTACGCACTGTTGGCAAGTACTGTGCATTCACCGGCTCCTGAATGTACTTGAACCCGCTCCAGTGTTGGTCAAGTCGTGTCTTGAAAGAGCTCACACTCGGTGCCGTCACAACACTCTCTGGTAGATTGTTCCAAGAGTTCACAACTCTCACTGCAAAAAAGTTTGCCCTCACAGTCTTCTGGACTTGCGGCTTCTTCAATCTTGAGCTGTGACCCCTTGTGGGGCCAGCGTCCGCCAGCTCCAAGTAAGGACACTCGACTGAGTAGTGCCCCTTGAGATGCTTATACACCTAAATTAGGTTCCCCCTTGCCCGTCTGTAGTATAAGTTAGGCAAGTTCAGGCGCTCCAATCTCTCAGGGTAGCTGAGGTGCCGAAGGGAAGGCACCAGTCTGGTGGCCCTCTTTTGAACATTTTCAATCAACTTACAATACCTAGCATATCTTGGGGACCAGCCGGGGTGACAGTGCTCCAGATGGGGAAGCACTTCACTCTTGAAGATCGTTACGAGGGACGGACCGTCTAAATATCTGAACGGCCTTCTTATAAGACCCAATAATTTATTTGCCTGATTTACCTTCTTCTCGCAATGGTCCGAGAACTTCAGCTCATTGTCAACATACACACCTAGGTCCTTCTCACATTCAGTCTCAAATAGTGCAGTTACTTCATCCCGTTGGGACATATGATACGCTTTCCTTACCGTTGGTACGCCCCAGGTGCATCCTCTTACACTTCGTGACATTGAATCTCAGCAGCCATTTCTTCGACCATTCTTGGAGCCCACAGAGGTCCTTCTGCAGCTCTTCACAGTCCGCATGGTTCTCGATGTCCCCAAATAACTTGGCGTCATCGGCAAACATTTGTATGGAGGAGTGTACAACGTCAGGCATGTCATTTATGAAACAAACAAACAACAGTGGGCCCAATACACTGCCATGTGGTACCCCGCTTGTGATAGGTCCGGATGATGATTTCGTGCCATTAATCACCACACACACTGCTTGCGGTCATGTAGAAAGTCTAATATCCACGCTAGGACATTTCCCCGAATTCCGTACCCTTCCAGTTTGATATTCAGCCTTTCGTGGGGTACACTGTCGAAAGCCTTGGCGAAATCTAGGTAAATATTGTCGATATTACCACCGCATTCCAGAATATGGGTCCAAATATCCAATACCTTGAGCAATTGTTAATCAAGAGCGCCCCGGCATAAAACCGTATTGGCAATCCTTTACAAGGTTGTTTCGTAGATGTTCCATTGCGTCATCTCTGATAATACTCTCAAGTACTTTACATATTATGCTGGTCAGGCTCACCGGTCTATAGTTGTTCGTGGAGTGACGACCGCCCTTGTTGAAGATAGGACTCGCATAAGCCACTTTCCATTCACTGGGGACCATTTGTTCATCCAGGCATTTACAAAACCGGATCTTCAGGGGCTCTGCAAGCTCGTTGCACAGCTCTCTTAGCACTCTAGGATGCACCATGTCAGGTCCGGGACTCTTATGGACCTTTAGCATGGACAGTTTATTTCTAATTCCCTCTTCTGTGAACACAATGTGGGTCAGTGCTGTGTCGAACCGTCTGTCCTCAAATGCACTAAGGTTAATCGCATCCTCTCTTGTGAACACTGAGGAAAGAAGCTGTTCAATGCCTTAGTGTGCAGATTAGTGGATGTCATGTTTATCATAGTTTATGACCTGACCTTATGATTAGTAAGGTCACCCTGTGTACTTAAGCCTCTCTCGGTCCTTGTAATTCAGTTGCCCCTGAAGATGTCTTGAATAAAGACGAAAGCTAAGGTGCTCTATTGTTTCCCTTTTTCCTGTGTGATGTTATCAATATATATATATATATATATATATATATATATATATACACACAAATAGAGCGGCTCCTGACCTCAGGGTCAGGGCTGGTCAGTGTGTGAGTCCTGGTTGTTTTGCTCAGCCTCAGAGCACAAACTAAACAATGTTAAAAATAGTTACAAATATGGCACTTAAACTATTCATATATATTTTATGGAAATAAAATGGACTCATATTAAACTAAAATTGCTTATAATTATTAATATTTGGTAATATAATTTAACTCAGGATATGCATATTATTTTGAGTTACTTGTAAATTAGTATGGTTCAGAGGGCTCGTCCGTGGTTCATGTTTAACATCAAGTTACTTGCTCAGTTTACAGAGCCTTGTCCTTGGCTTCTCGCTCGCGTCAATCTTCCATAATTACTCAGGTATGAACCACTTTTGTAGCTTATTTACCACCAAACACGTTGTCTGTAAGCACCTTTGACACGTTCATGTGCATTAGTGACCATTATTAGGTTTTATTAAGGGAAAGAAGTGTATTTTGGTGGCGTAGAGGCAGACAAGGTGTCAATGTTTTTTTGATAATTTGTATTTTTTTCCATTATTTTCCTTCTGTTAGTCAGGTATTGTAGAGGTTATTGACTTTTGCTGTTGAGACAAAAAATATGACAGGTGTTAGTACATGTGGGGGGTTGAGTTTAGTGATGGAGAATGTGGTAATTTGTCACTAGTACTGTATAATGACAGGAAATTCCAAGACAGAGATGATGACTAAGATGATGATGATAATGATGAAACTGAGGCATAACTTAGCGCCACACTTAACAGTAATACCTGAAGCTCAGCCTATTTAACGAGAAGAGAATTTGTTCGTTCTTTTAACAATAACTGATAAAATAGCAGATTACAGCAACCAAAGAATCACCTAACCTAACCTTGCTGTATTCTGTGGCTGCTGTTTACTGTAATATTACTCAAAAGATCATTATATCTTCCCTGGGAAAATGTAATACAGTATTTGAGGATTTTGTCTTCATGGTTTTAATTTCTCAACCACTGGTGTCACGTTAATGTAATCTTATCTTCAGTGTTTATCATACTTAAAGAAAAAGGTTTATGTGTTAAGTTTTACCTGATAACTGACACACAGTAAAAGCTGTGAGGTTAACATGTTCAGCCAAATACTGAACCAACTTTATTTATTGGTAATATTGTAGGTCACACAAACAAAGAATCTGATAAAAAAACCTAACCTAACCTATTGTAATATAAGAAAATTATCATAGAAAAAATAGTTCTATTTATTGAGTGAAGTGAATTTGTGGTATTCTGTGGTAGTTGTTCACTGCTATATTACCATAGTTGGTAAACAGTCTTGTAGCATTTAATCCAACTACACCCGTTTGGGAGGGTGTATGCTCAACCACTGCCTCTTAACGACAGTACAGTACAGTACAGTACAGTATGGTACAGTACAGTACAGTACAGTATGGTACAGTACAGTATGGTACATTATAGTACAGTATGGTACAGTATAGTACAATACAGTATGGTTCAGTACAGTATGGTATAGTATAGTACAGTGCAATACAGTATAGTATAGAACAGTACATTATAGTACAGTACAGTATGGTACAGTATAGTACAGTACAGTGTGATACAGTATAGTACAGTACAGTATGGTACAGTATAGTACAGTACAGTATAGTACAGTATGGTACAGTACAGTATGGTACAGTAAAGTACAGTACAGTATAGTATAGTACAGTATACAGTAGTACAGTGCAGTATACAGGGTAGTGCAGGACAGTACAGTATGGTTCAGTACAGTATAGTACAGTACAGTATGGTGTCCGTTCACACTGTACTGGTAAACATGGTGTATTACAGGACCCAGGCTGATGACCTCTCTGTATGGTGTCTGCTCACACTGTACTGGTAAACATGGTGTATTACAGGACCCAGGCTGATGACCTCTCTGTATGGTGTCTGTTCACACTGTACTGGTAAACATGGTGTATTACAGGACCCAGGCTGATGACCTCTCTGTATGGTGTCTGCTCACACTGTACTGGTAAACATGGTGTATTACAGGACCCAGGCTGATGACCTCTCTGTATGGTGTCTGCTCACACTGTACTGGTAAACATGGTGTATTACAGGACCCAGGTTGATGACCTCTCTGTATGGTGTCTGCTCACACTGTACTGGTAAACATGGTGTATTACAGGACCCAGGCTGATGACCTCTCTGTATGGTGTCTGCTCACACTGTACTGGTAAACATGGTGTATTACAGGACCCAGGCTGATGACCTCTCTGTATGGTGTCTGCTCACACTGTACTGGTAAACATGGTGTATTACAGGACCCAGGTGCTGATGACCTCTCTGTATGGTGTCTGCTCACACTGTACTGGTAAACATGGTGTATTACAGGACCCAGGCTGATGACCTCTCTGTATGCAGGCCTGCTCACACTGCACTGGTAAACATATGTATTACAGGACCCAGGCTGGATGACTCTCTGTATGGTGGTCTGCTCACACTGTACTGGTAAACATGGTGTATTACAGGACCCAGGCTGATGACCTCTCTGTATGGTGTCTGTTCACACTGTACTGGTAAACATGGTGTATTACAGGACCCAGGCTGATGACCTCTCTGTATGGTGTCTGCTCACACTGTACTGGTAAACATGGTGTATTACAGGACCCAGGCTGATGACCTCTCTGTATGGTGTCTGCTCACACTGTACTGGTAAACATGGTGTATTACAGGACCCAGGTTGATGACCTCTCTGTATGGTGTCTGCTCACACTGTACTGGTAAACATGGTGTATTACAGGACCCAGGCTGATGACCTCTCTGTATGGTGTCTGCTCACACTGTACTGGTAAACATGGTGTATTACAGGACCCAGGCTGATGACCTCTCTGTATGGTGTCTGCTCACACTGTACTGGTAAACATGGTGTATTACAGGACCCAAGCTGATGACCTCTCTGTATGGTGTCTGCTCACACTGTACTGGTAAACATGGTGTATTACAGGACCCAGGCTGATGACCTCTCTGTATGGTGTCTGCTCACACTGTACTGGTAAACATGGTGTATTACAGGACCCAGGCTGATGACCTCTCTGTATGGTGTCTGCTCACACTGTACTGGTAAACATGGTGTATTACAGGACCCAGGCTGATGACCTCTCTGTATGGTGTCTGCTCACACTGTACTGGTAAACATGGTGTATTACAGGACCCAGGCTGATGACCCCTGTATGGTGTCTGCTCACACTGTACTGTAAATATGGTGTAATACAGACCCAGGCTGATGACCTCTGTATGGTGTCTGCTCACACTGTACTGGTAAACATGGTATTATAGGACCCAGGTTGATGACCTCTGTATGGTGTCTGCTCACACTGTACTGGGTGTAAAACATGGTACAGGACCCAGGGTTGATGACCTCTCTGTATGGTGTCCGTTCACACTGTACTGGTAAACATGGTGTATTACAGGACCCAGGCTGATGACCTCTCTGTATGGTGTCTGCTCACACTGTACTGGTAAACATGGTGTATTACAGGACCCAGGCTGATGACCTCTCTGTATGGTGTCTGTTCACACTGTACTGGTAAACATGGTGTATTACAGGACCCAGGCTGATGACCTCTCTGTATGGTGTCTGCTCACACTGTACTGGTAAACATGGTGTATTACAGGACCCAGGCTGATGACCTCTCTGTATGGTGTCTGCTCACACTGTACTGGTAAACATGGTGTATTACAGGACCCAGGTTGATGACCTCTCTGTATGGTGTCTGCTCACACTGTACTGGTAAACATGGTGTATTACAGGACCCAGGCTGATGACCTCTCTGTATGGTGTCTGCTCACACTGTACTGGTAAACATGGTGTATTACAGGACCCAGGCTGATGACCTCTCTGTATGGTGTCTGCTCACACTGTACTGGTAAACATGGTGTATTACAGGACCCAGGCTGATGACCTCTCTGTATGGTGTCTGCTCACACTGTACTGGTAAACATGGTGTATTACAGGACCCAGGTTGATGACCTCTCTGTATGGTGTCTGCTCACACTGTACTGGTAAACATGGTGTATTACAGGACCCAGGCTGATGACCTCTCTGTATGGTGTCTGCTCACACTGTACTGGTAAACATGGTGTATTACAGGACCCAGGCTGATGACCTCTCTGTATGGTGTCTGCTCACACTGTACTGGTAAACATGGTGTATTACAGGACCCAGGCTGATGACCTCTCTGTATGGTGTCTGCTCACACTGTACTGGTAAACATGGTGTATTACAGGACCCAGGCTGATGACCTCTCTGTATGGTGTCTGCTCACACTGTACTGGTAAACATGGTGTATTACAGGACCCAGGCTGATGACCTCTCTGTATGGTGTCTGCTCACACTGTACTGGTAAACATGGTGTATTACAGGACCCAGGCTGATGACCTCTCTGTATGGTGTCTGCTCACACTGTACTGGTAAACATGGTGTATTACAGGACCCAGGCTGATGACCTCTCTGTATGGTGTCTGCTCACACTGTACTGGTAAACATGGTGTATTACAGAGAGGTCATCAGCCTGGGTCCTGTAATACACCATGTTTACCAGTTCAGTGTGAACAATTCACCACACTCTCAGCTTTGGGACTCCTCCTCTGGCAGTCTTTGGTAGCCTGTACAGTACATACAGGTGTTCAATCCTGAATCATCATCATCGTCGTTTTACCGCCATTTCCCAGGTTCGTTTGAATTAGCCGTGATTATCTGATGGCACGGTGTCTCGATTGCCATAAGGCAAATTAGACGTAAATTTATGGCTGGTTGCCCTTCCTGTCACCAATCTACTTGTATTGAGTAGAAACTGAGGGCCTGGGGGGCGAAACAATATATGTATGTTGTGTTGTCAATGGTAAGAGAAACAATTGAGACCCTGCAATTGTGTGTAAATGAGGCAGAAAATCAGATTAGCAACCTGGGACTTGGTCACAATATTCGTGATGCCATATGGCAGCAGGGTCTACCATTAGACAACACATTATGCTTCCAATATCTTCCCAGGCAGTAGTACCTCCCTGTTTGGTAGCTGCTTACTACCTACTAATAGTTAACATCTGAGTCACAAGTTGACATTATCACCTTTAGTCTTCCGTACTGCACAAAATATCTCGAGCTTGTTACACTTACAAATTCACGCCTCCATCTAATGTAATAAAAGTACAGTGACCCCTCGTTTAACGAACACCTCGGTTAACGTAATTTCGATTAACGAACTGCCTCTCACAAGGATCTTCAATTCCGTTAACGAAAAAAATTCGATTAACGAAGTTCTTACGTAACCGACCTCAACATGTTTTCGCTTGCACTGACCAGGCAACCAGCTTTAGTATCAGTCCGCCAATACATTAATCGGATCTAGGGCTTAAATTCCTTACTATTTTAGTAAATATCAAGAAGTTTATACTATTCAATAATTTTAAAGTTTAATATTCAATTTTTAGTCATTTTAACAATTATTGAACATAATTGAAGGTAAAGTGACTAGTTTAATGTGCGGCATCCAGCCTCCTAACACAGCAAACAGGAGTTACTGTCTCTCTCTGTTTTCACTGGAGGTAACATCTTGCTTGAGACTCTTCAACTAAACGCTTTTTTCTGTGTTTCCAAGCAAATTATTGGTCATTTTGAAATATATTTTACATATTGACAATATATAATGCAGTGCAGTGTTGATTTAAAGAAAATAATCTTGAATTACACCAAGAGAGCTAAAATTTTATGGGTGAAATGGCGCCATGGGGTGACTTCTCTTCCACCCCAATGCCTTCTCTTCTTCCTTCTCCTCCACCCCCATTCTAAATCCCATCATCATCATCATCATCATCCAGGAGCCTTCTACATACACACCTCAAAGTAAGTGAACTTTTCTACCATTTTTGTTGAATTTAGGAAATTTTCGGTGAGCTGGAACCAATTACCCAACAACCCATTGAAACAATGGTTTCACTTAACGAACTTTTCGGTTAACGAACGACCTTCTGGAACGGATTGAGTTCGTTAACGGAGGGGTCACTGTATTGCTAGAAGCTTAACTTTATATCTTGTATTGTGTGTAACCCTCTGCTTTATATTTCTAGACTGGCGGTTGAATGATGCGGGACCTGTACAATGCTCTGCCCCTGCCAGACGACCGACCAATTACATCCGTGTGTGTGGTCGAGGAGTTGTCCGGATGTCCCCCCAACTACACACCTGTACGTTGACACTGTACAGTGCTTCCTTAATAACTCTACAAGTCTGGATAACACAGTCTATTTTGTTCTTATTCATTAGTCAGATAAGTTGTGGTGTCTTATGGTGCATGTACTCTACTGTACTCTACTGGTCTATAATAAGGACAGTTTTTTGTTGGGTGTACATAACTGTACTATACAGTTCCTACAACTACCGACACAAAATGTGTTATGAAAGGTACACACAGAGGCTGACCCACATCATGACCCACAACAGCACACTGGATGGGCAGGGAGACTGGCCACACAGCTTGGGGGAGGGGCCACGCAGGGGTGCTGGCCACACTTGGCAGGGAGGTGCTGGCCACACAGGGGGAGGAGGTACTGGCCACAGCTTGGGGCTATCAACACTGGCCACACAGCTTGGGAGGGTTGGCCACACAGCAGGGGAGGAGTGCTGGCCACAGCTTGGGGGGTACTGGCCACACTTGGGGAGCTTTAGGTACTGCCACACAGCTTGGGGGGACAGCTAGGGGGAGGAGTACTGGCCACACAGCTTGGGAGGTACTGGCCACACAGGCCACACAGCTTGGGGGGTACTGTACACAGCAGGGGGGAGGTACTGGCCACACAGCAGGGGTGCTGTACTGCACACACAGCCAGGGGAGTGAGCACACAGCTTGGGGAGCTGGCCACAGCTTGGGGGGCCAGGGGGTGCTGGCCAGCTGGCCACACAGCAGGGAGGAGTACTGGCCACACAGCTTGGGGGAGGAGTACTGGCCACACACACACAGCTTGGGGAGGTACTGCCACACAGCTTGACACACAGCAGGGGGAGGAGTACTGGCCACACAGCAGGGCCACACAGCAGGAGACTGGGCCACACAGCTTGGGAGGCTGGCCACACAGCTTGGGGGAGGAGTGCTTGGCCACACAGCTTGGGGACTGGCCACACAGGTACTGGCCACACAGCAGGTGCTGGCCACACAGCAGGAGTGGGGCCTGTACACAGCTTGGGGAGAGTGACACAGCTAGGGTACACACAGCTTGGGGGAGGGGCAGGGGAGGATGCTGGCTTACAACAATTTGCTTAGGAGTACTTAGGGAGGAACACAGCTTTTTTGCTGTCTGGCTTTCTGACACAATTTGGTACTTGTTGAGGAGTACTGGCCCACAGTACTGGCCACACAGCTCATTTTTATGTCAGTGTTTCAACAATTTTTGGTTTGTTTTTTCTTATTAATTTTTTAAAGGAAAGTCTAATTGTCACAGTGTTTAGGTTTGGTTGAGGTGGAGTAATCATGTCTATTGTGCATCTTTTCTCAGCTGAGGAAAAATCTCCGCCCCTCCTCAAGAGTTACAGCTGATTGGCTGTAGCAAACCTGTCTGATTTCGTCGTGAAGTAATGATGTATTTCTAGATAAGTTTATTCATAATCGTTGGGATGACCGTTTATGGCGAGAATGATATTATTTCAAACATGAGCACGTAGGAAGTTTATTAGAAGTATTAAGAACATAAGAATGGAGGAAACTGCAGCGGGCCTATTGGCCCATACTGGGCAGTCCCGTTTACACCCAACCCCTATTGCTCATATAAGCATCCAACCTATGTTTGAAGCTATCCGGCGTTATTATACGTGAGTTAACTGTTAAACTCTGGTAGCAAATTAACGTTTTCGGAGGATGCATTTAATATATACTTATTTTTACCAACAATAAGGCATACTAAGACAAATGACGTACGTATTACAGTGGAAAGTGGGATAAAATCGTGACGAAAGCAATGACTTTCGCTTTCTTTCGTTCAAAAGATGTTACCGTAATTGCTTTTCTAATGGTTTTCAGTTAAAAAACTGTTGTATTACAATAATATTCCCTCCTAATTGACTTGAATAAATACTTGAATGGAAATATACAATATATTTGTTGAAACTACCCACATTTCAGTGTAAAGTGTCGTAACAATAAATGGTAAACAATTTGCCTTCGGCACTCGGTGTTTCAGGCACGGTGAGCCTCTGTTTATAGGACGTAGAGTGTTTTTACTGAAGGTTTTGTTATTCCAATACTGTACCCTCAAAAACTTGGGTCGACCTATAAACAAGGAATATCATAAATTAAAGATTTTTTGGTAAAAAAATCAGGGTCGACCTACAATGCTGATGTCAACAGAAGCGTAGTTACAGCGAGACTGACTGGGTGAGGGAGCGCGGGGTGGCGTGACGCGCGATGCGTGTGTGGGGGGGGGAATTGGCTGGCTGGCAGTGTGCGGTGCCGCGCGCGATTTGAATGGCGCGCTATTTGAATGTACTTCAATGTACAGATTATTCCTCCGGCGGGGCAATCCACGTATTTGCAAACCCGCGTATGTTAAGGGCCGACTGTAAATCATGTTGTAAATCATGTACAGGAAGGATACGTAAATTGTAATATCAAGTGTATGGTTCGCTCAAAGCCACCCCAAGTCAGACAACGCGTCACACAAAGTTACACTGTGTGTGTGCGTGCGTGCGTGAAGTTCACATAATTTAAGATATGTACTATGTTTTTATAAGTAAGTGTTTAAGTAGAGTAAAGGCCCAAAGAGTCTGGGGATGAAGACGTCTGTTGACTTCCTTCTGGAAGTAACTACGGTAACAAAACTATCGGGACAGAACCATGTTTACAGTACAGTACTGTTCATGTTCTCAGAAAAAGACAGATAACACAACACTTATATGGGAGTCGTAATATATGAGATACAAGACTCAGTCATATATATGATGACCTTACTGATACAAGACTCAGTCATATATATGATGACCTTACTGATACAAGACTCAGTCATATATATGGTGACCTTACTGATACAAGACTCAGTCATATATATGGTGACCTTACTGATACAAGACTCAGTCATATATATGATGACCTTACTGATACAAGACTCAGTCATATATATGGTGACCTTACTGATACAAGACTCAGTCATATATATGATGACCTTACTGATACAAGACTCAGTCATATATATGGTGACCTTACTGATACAAGACTCAGTCATATATATGATGACCTTACTGATACAAGACTCAGTCATATATATGATGACCTTACTGATACAAGACTCAGTCATATATATGATGACCTTACTGATGCAAGACTCAATCGCCCATATATGATGACCTTACTGATGCAAACTCAGTCCATATATGAGTGACCTTACTGATACAAGACTCAGTCATATATATGATGACCTTACTGATACAAGACTCAGTCATATATATGGTGACCTTACTGATACAAGACTCAGTCATATATATGGTGACCTTACTGATACAAGACTCAGTCATATATATGATGACCTTACTGATACAAGACTCAGTCATATATATGGTGACCTTACTGATACAAGACTCAGTCATATATATGATGACCTTACTGATACAAGACTCAGTCATATATATGGTGACCTTACTGATACAAGACTCAGTCATATATATGATGACCTTACTGATACAAGACTCAGTCATATATATGGTGACCTTACTGATACAAGACTCAGTCATATATATGGTGACCTTACTGATACAAGACTCAGTCATATATATGATGACCTTACTGATGCAAGACTCAGTCATATATATGATGACCTTACTGATGCAAGACTCAGTCATATATATGATGACCTTACTGATACAAGACTCAGTCATATATATGATGACCTTACTGATACAAGACTCAGTCATATATATGGTGACCTTACTGATACAAGACTCAGTCATATATATGATGACCTTACTGATACAAGACTCAGTCATATATATGGTGACCTTACTGATACAAGACTCAGTCATATATATGGTGACCTTACTGATACAAGATTCATTCATATATATGATGACCTTACTGATACAAGACTCAGTCATATATATGGTGACCTTACTGATACAAGACTCAGTCATATATATGATGACCTTACTGATACAAGACTCAGTCATATATATGGTGACCTTACTGATACAAGACTCAGTCATATATATGATGACCTTACTGATGCAAGACTCAGTCATATATATGATGACCTTACTGATGCAAGACTCAGTCATATATATGATGACCTTACTGATGCAAGACTCAGTCATATATATGATGACCTTACTGATACAAGACTCAGTCATATATTTGATGACCTTACTGATGCAAGACTCAGTCATATGAAGTAATACAGTAATGTTATTTTTCAGGTATCTAAGACCCATGACCAGGACATAGATGCAGACCTTTATAAAGATGGCTTCTTCAGGAGGGTGACCCGCTACCTGTGTCACAGCAAAACTGAAGGTTACATGGGCTATGTGGTGGAGCATCTGGCTATTGTTAATGATCGAGACTCAAGACCTGCAGGATACACCATTGTTGAACAAACCTTTGACACAAGTGAGTTTATATATACTATACTGTACTGAAGAGCATTGTGTCACTGGCTACATAGTAAGCTCTATATGTTACTATAAATCTATATCAATCAAGCAATCAACTTTATTTTGCATTAATAATACAAAACCGAATGTATCCTCATATAATTAATCTCTCCTTCAGATCAGCTTATATTTATGACTTATCAATATTGTAGAAAGACTTTGATAACAGGTGCACTTAAAAACAGTACTTGAGCTGTAGAAATGTGACCAATATCAACAGGATAAGGACTACTACTAGATCATATATATATATATATATATATATATATATATATATATATATATATATATATATATATATATATATATATATATATATATATATATATATATATATATATATATATATATATATATATATTATATATACACACACACACACAGTTGTACCCCACTTAACGCGGTCAATTGAACCCAGAGGGTCCCGCGTTAAGTGAAATCCGCGTTAAGTGAACAACAGAACATATGGGATTAATTCCAATAGAAACCAGCCCGATCCCCAAACTCCACTTTTTGACGACACATAACTATGTTGTAGTAAAAATTCTATCTTAACTTTATGATGGTATGAAAAAACAAGTAATATAGAAGAGGTTAGGTTAGGAAAGATAAAGGTTAACATAGGAAAAATGAAGGTTAAGTTAGAGAAACTAAAAATTTTGTGTAACACTTACGGTTGTAGAAGAGATGGGTCGGCATACGGGGATGGAGGCTGGTTCCGAGGCAGAGGGCAGATTACTGGCCCTCAGGTGAATCACCATTACTAGGTGAATCACCATTACTAGGTGAATCACCATCACTGTCACTTACAGTTGTCAGGGCTTCCCTGACAAATCCCTCAAAGTCAACTTCACTTTCACTATCACTGGCTTGGGCTGGCTGTGGTGGGTTGCGGGCGAAGAACTCGGTTATGCTTTGCTGACGGCTGGCGTTGATGTTGTCATGATACACCGTGATGTACGGCTCCATAGCCTGCACCAGCCGGGTATGGAAGACTTCATAGCGTTCATCGTCATTGTCGCGGGAAAGGACGGACTTAATTTTTTCTGCAAACTCTATGGCACACTTAATATCACTATGACTTAAACTAGGTTCTTCGGAGCATGACGCACCTTCTTCCTCCTCTTCACTGGCGTGTTCTTCTTCCAACATCTCGTCGGCAGTCACTTCAGGATCTTTGATCACCTCCAGGATGTCTTCGTTGGTGGTCTCGGAGAAGCCTTCAGCTGTAATATTGAGCGCAGCTTCTCTGGCAAGGTCCACTGCTACTGCAACAGTCTGAACCTCACCAGTCACAGGTTCACTCCTCCTCTCACCTGGTATGCCATGCAACACATGTCTCCAAGCGTGACGAATCGTAGCAATAGTCAGCAGATCCCATGCCTCCACCAAGAAGTCTACAGCTTGTTTAACGTTAAACTTCTTCCAAAATTGTTTGACGAGAAGTTCTTGAGTCACCGCCTCTTGTTCCTTGTCCTCGTCGCTTTTGCTCTCGCTGTCGGTGTCACCCAGCTTACGCAACTCATCCTTGGTGTTGGTAGAGTCGTTCAGCAGCTTGAACTTCTTTGCAGAGTACGCAGCTTTAACATTGCAGATCAACTCCTGGTCCATGGGCTGGATTAATGACGTGGTGTTGGGAGGAAGGAAGACCACTTTTACGTTGGGGTGACGATCCATAAGTAGGGGCGAGTGTCCAGGTGCGTTGTCAAGGAGCAACAAAATATTGAATGAAACATTCTGTTGCTCGCACAATTTCTTCACGTCGGGAACAAAACAGTCGTCAAACCAGAAGAGGGACAGAGAAGAGGACATCCACGCCTTACGTGCGGTTAGCCAGTGGACATTAAGCTTGTTCATGTCCATATTCTTGTAGGCGTGCGGCTTGCGGGCTGTGTGAATCACCGATAACTTTGGTTTACAGGTACAGGAGGCATTGGTGGTAAACAGGACGGTGATGCGTTCCTTCTGCAACTTCCGACCCCTTACCTTGCTCGCAGACTGGACAACGAAGGTCTTGGAAGGTAACTTTTTCCAGAAAAGACCAGATTCGTCCATGTTAAACACCTGGTCGTCGGTGTACTGTCCTTCCTCCATAATCTCACGTAAGAACGGAGGAAAATCTCTAGCCGCCACACGGTCAGCACTCGCTTTCTCACCACCAATGTTGATGTTGGTGATCTTGTTCCTCTTCTTAAACCTATGCAGCCAACCAGAGGAAGCATTGAAGGGTTTGGGCTCTGCAATTCCCAGCTTACGTGACACTGCTGCGTATAGCTCACGTGCATACTCCTGCACTGAGCGCGTGTCCACCGCCATGTTGCGTCGCGCCTGATGAATCAAATAACTCACCAGCAAATTTTCCACTTTTGCCAGCACCCTGTTCTGGCAATACCTGATAGATGAAGCACCTGCAGACTTTGTGATTTTCATGTGCTCTTTGATCTTGGCTGCATCCTTCTTGATCGTACTAATCGTAGATTCGTTGACGCCATGCTGGCGCGCGAGATCAACTTGCCGTCTTCCTTTCTCCAAATCTTGAACAATTTGGTACTTCACCTCGTAGCTTAATGAACGTCGTGTCTTCTTTGGCTTAGTGCCGCTGGGTCCAGGTAAGGAAAGGTCTCTCTCTGGGGGCGATGGTGGTCCGGCGGAAGCCATTTTACGGAACAATGGATGCGCGTTAACACGGGGTGGCCTTGAGGGATGAAACTGCCGCGGCTAGGTCAAGTGTCGTCTCTCCTCCCTCCCTCCCTCCCCGGGGTGGTCACGTCATAATACTTTAAGCCAATTACAGCTAGCAGCAGAGGGGGGTAGGGATGCAGGGCCAATCACAGTCCGATACGTCATATGACGTCAGTGATAACGCAACAAAGACACACTGCGCAACCTTACCGCGCGGCTTGCCCAAGCGGAGGGAGAGGCGAGGAGCACAGGCAGGCAGGCGGGCGGGCAAAATCTAAAAATAGCATCTCGAGCCGGACACTCACCGCGTATATGTGGAAAAAATCCGTGTTAAGTGAAAGTTCAGCTCTGGCAAGGCACCGCGTATATGATAAAACGCGTTAAGTGAAACCGCGTTAGGCGGGGTAATACTGTGTGTGTGTATATATATATATATATATATATATATATATATATATATATATATATATATATATATATATATATATATATATATATATATATATATATATATATATACACACACAGTATTACCCCGCCTAACGCGGTTTCACTTAACGCGTTTTATCATATACGCGGTGCCTTGCTAGAGCTGAACTTTCACTTAACACGGATTTTTTCCACATATACGCGGTGAGTGTCCGGCTCGAGATGCTATTTTTAGATTTGCCCCACCCTGCCTGACTGCCTGTTTTAGCTCATAAAATTCATACAAATTACCCGGCCAGAATATAATTTACATTGCTGGAATTCTTATAATTTGATGATCATTTTGAATATAAACATCATATTTTTGCATTAGACATACAAATTTTAGATAAAAATTTTTCTCAAATTAACTATGTTATCTTTTGTGCAAAATATATGACATTTATATTCAAAATATTCCTGGTCTTACAAGGAATCCAGCAATGTCAATTATATTATCCTAACTTTAGTTTGAGGTATTATTTATTAAAATTTAGTGGTTATCCCACACATCTCCTTGGGACGGTTGGTGGGGGGTGGGGGGGAGGGAGGGACCGACCGACCATCTGTTACCCTGTGAAGAATTATTTTTTTTTTTATTAACTGAAGATATTTGTTTTAGCTCATAAAATTCATACAAATTACCCGGTCTGAATATAATTTACATTGCTGGAATTCTTATAATTTGATGATCATTTTGAATATAAACATCATATTTTTGCATTAGACATACAAATTTTAGATAAAATTTTTTATCAAATTAACTATGTTATCTTTTGTGCAAAATATATGACATTTATATTCAAAATATTCCTGGTCTTACAAGGAATCCAGCAATGTCAATTATATTATCCTAACTTTAATCTGAGGTATTATTTAATACTAAATGTTAAAAACCCTGGAAGGGAGGATTGGTGGGGGGTGGGGGGGAGGGTTGGGACTGACCACGCGGTTGGAAGAGGGGGGGAGGCAAGGTTGAGTCCATTATTTGAATGGACATTAACTTGGCGACTGTATTTCTCTATTTCTCTTAAGTATTAATTGTGTGCATGTACCATCATAAAATTAAGATGTTATTTTTACTACAACATAGGTATGTGCCTTCAAAAAGTGGAGTTTGGGGGTCGGGCCGGTTTCTATTGGAATTAATCCCATATGTTCTGTTGTTCACTTAACGCGGATTTCACTTAACGCGGGACCCTCTGGGTTCAATTGACCGCGTTAAGTGGATTTTCTATATATATATATATATATATATATATATATATATATATATATATATATATATATATATATATATATATATATATATATATATATATATATATATATATATATATATATACAGCGACCCCTCGTTTAACGAACGCCTCTGTTAACGAAATTTCGGTTAACAAACTGCCTTCCATAAGGATCTTCAATTCGGTTAACGAACAAAAATTCGGTTAACGAATTTCTTACGAATCGACCTCAACATGTTTTCGCTTGCACTGGCCGGGCAACCAGCTTTAGTATCAGTCCGCCAATACATTAATCGGTTCTAGGGCTTAAATTCCTAACTATTTTAGTAAACATCAAGAAGTTTATACTATTCAATAATTTTAAAAGTTTAATATTCAATTTTTTAGTCATTTTAACAATTATTGAACATAATTGAAGGTAAAGTGACTAGTTTAAAGCGCAGCATCCAGCCTCTTAACACAGCAAACAGGCGTTAGTCTCTCTCTGTTTTCACTGGAGGTAACATCTTGCTTGAGACTCTCTTCAACTAAACACTTTTTTCTGTGTTTCCAAGCAAATTATTGG